AAGCTGTTTTCAGGACTATAGCTCTATAATAGAGCTTGAGGTCAGGGATGGTGATGCCTCCGGACATTGCCTTGTTGAACAGGGTTGTTTTGGCTATCCTGGGTCTTTTGTTTTTCCATACAAAATTGATTATTGTTCTTTCAAGGTCTGTGAAGAATTGTGCTGGGATTTTAATGGGGATTGCATTGAATCTGTAGATTGCTTTTGGCAGGATTGCCATTTTTACTACATTGATCCTACCTATCCAAGAGCATGGGAGATCTTTCCATTTTCTGAGGGCTTCTTTAATTTCTTTCTTTAAAGATTCAAAGTTCTTACGATACAGGTCTTTCACTTGTTTGGTTAGCGTTACCCCAAGGTATTTTATGTTGTTTGTGGCAATTGTAAAGGGTGATGTTTCTCTGATTTCTCTTTCAGCCCTTTTATCATCTGTATATAGTAGGGCTACTGATTTTCTTGAGTTGATCTTGTAGCCTGCCACTTTGCTGAAGGTGTTAATCAGCTGTAAGAGTTCCCTGGTAGAGTTCTTTGGGTCATTGATGTAAACTATCATATCGTCTGCAAACAGTGAAAGTTTGACCTCTTCCTTCCCAATTTGTATCCCCTTGATCCCCCTTTGTTGTCGTATGGCAATAGCTAGAACTTCAAGTACCATGTTGAAAAGGTATGGAGAGAGTGGACAGCCTTGTTTTGTTCCTGATTTTAGAGGAATTGCGTTGAGTTTCTGTCCATTTAGTTTGATGTTGGCTGTTGGTTTACTGTATATAGCTTTTATTATGTTTAAGTGTGTCCCTGTTATCCCAGATCTCTCCAAGACCTTTATCATGAAGGGGTGTTGGATTTTGTCAAAGGCTTTTTCAGCATCTAGTAAGATGATCATGTGATTTTTGTTTTTCAGCTTGTTTATATGGTGGATTACGTTGATGGATTTTCGTATGTTGAACCATCCCTGCATCCCTGGGATGAAACCTACTTGATCGTGGTGAATGATTGTTTTGATGTGTTCTTGGATCCGATTTGCCAGTATTTTATTGAGTATTTTTGCATCAATGTTCATGAGGGATATTGGTCTGAAGTTCTCTTTCTTAGTTGTATCTTTGTGTGGCTTGGGGATCAAGGTTATTGAAGCCTCATAGAAAGAGTTTGGCAAAGACCCTTCTACTTCTATTGTGTGGAACACTTTGAGAAGAATTGGTATAAGCTGTTCTTTGAATTTCTGGTAGAATTCTGCACTGAGGCCATCTGGACCTGGACTTTTTTTGGTTGGGAGACTTTTGATGACAGCTTCTATTTCCATAGGGGTTATAGGTCTATTTAAATTGCTTATCTGTTCTTGATTTAGTTTTGGCAAATGATATCTGTCCAGGAAGCCATCCATTTCCTTTAAATTTTCGAATTTTGTGGAGTACAGGTTTTCAAAGTATGACCTAATGATTCTCTGGATTTCCTCAGAGTCTGTTGTTATGTCCCCCTTTTCATTTCTGATTTTGTTAATTTGCGTGTTCACTCTCTGCTGTTTGGTATGGTGGCCAGGGAGGCCAGGAGATGTTTTCAGAACCCTTGGAACTGGAGTTGCAGATAGTAGTGAGCTTCTGTATGTACTGGGAATGGAAGATGGATGCTCTGAAAGAATCTTCAGTGCTCTTAACCACTAAAGTATTTTTCACCCTAGGTTTTCTATTCTTGAATTTTTTTTCCTGCCCAAGACAGCCTAGCCAGGGTCTGACATCTGATGTTGATTACAAAATGGAATTCTCCTCCATTTGAGAGAATTAGCCTCAGGTTGAAATGAGCTCCTTGGTTTGATTGCGTATTCAACACAACCTGGTCAGCCCATTATCCGTATATATATCCCATTATCTGTATATATAGCCAACAAAAATGGATGCAGCAGGTGCATTCATATATTTCAGTCTACTTATTCTTCCATATTTAACAAGGAAGAAGTTGGAATGGGTTTGGGAAAGGATAGGATGAAGAGATAAAGGGGGAAAGTGATACAATATCTTTCAAATAACAATTTATGGAAGTAAATTTTAAATAAAAAGTAGGGGCTAGACAGATGGCTCAGCAATTAGAAGCACTGGGTGCTGTTACAAAGGACCCAGGTTCCATTTCCAGAACCATTTGGTGTAACTCCAGTCCCAGGCATCTCCTGCCTTCTTCTGGTCTCTGTAGGTACTGTGCACAAACACATATAGGCAAAACATGATACAGCTAATTAAAAAAAGGAAGTTAGAAAAAAGAAAGAATGAAATTCTCTACAGTGATGTCACAGCACTGAGACAACCAACAAGGACTAGTCAAAATGAACCTCTTCTGGTTTTTCATGAAATCAGTCATGTCCTTCTGCCAAGTCAGCCTGCTCATGCGCAAAAGCAGCTCTGTTCTGAGGTTAGCAGAGATTATCATAACCATTAATAATACAGTGATGTTAGGTGACTTTTCCTTGATGTTTTCTGTATTTGTGTTCTCTACCTTTTGTATATGTGAGAATTGTGGCATTGGTACGTCTGTCTTTTAGATCAAACATCAAGATTGACAGGCTGCATAGGCTCCAAAGCAATCTACTTTCACGCTGTAACTTACTTGATTTTCAGCTAACATACTGTGGTACGTATAATTTATATACGTTCCTGCATGACTTTGAGATAAGAATGTCCCTAAATGTCTTGGCCTCTACATTGTGATCATTTTCAGAAGTGGATTTATTAACTGAGCATGCTTAGGAATAGGTGGAACTTTATGTGAATGTGTTCAGACTCCCTAAGTAAAATCCATATGCTTCCTTTGTTTAGGAAAAGCATTTTTTGGAAATAACTCCTATGCTCTTCTTGCATCCTGTAGATAAGAAATCTTTCTCACTTCTTTGGTCTTTCCTGTTGTAATGGCTGTTCTTGGTAGTCAAACTGACTACCTCTGGAATTAACTAAAACCCAAAGAGTTGGGTTTATCTGTGAGTTTTCTCTTCTTTCTTTCTTTTTTCCTTTTTACTTTCTCTCTTTCTCTCTCTCTCTTTCTTTCTTTCTTCCTTCCTCTCTCCCTCCCTCTCTCCCTCCCTCTCTCCCTCCCTCCCTCCCTTCCTTCATTCCTTTTTGCTTTGTTTTTCAAAACGGAGGTTCCCTTGTAGCTTTGGAGCCTGTCCAAAAGCTATGTAGACCAGGCTGGCCTTGAACTCACAGAGATTCACCTACCTCTGCCTCCTGAGTGCTGGGATTAAAGGCATGTGCCACAACACTTGAGGGAGAAAGAGTTTTCTTAAAGGTTTTGAAGTTAAAGATCTACCTTTAAAGTGGGTCATTTGAAGTGATGCACACCTCTAACCCCAGCACTCAGGAGGCAGAAGCAGTCAGATTTTCTGAGTTTGAGGTCAGCCTGGTCTACAGAAAAAGTTCCAGGCCTACACAGACAAAACTCGTCTCAAAAACACCAAACAAACAAACAAAAACAAAAAACAATCAAACAAAGAATAAGATCCACCTTTAATCTTTATCACACCTTCTAGTAGCAGTTGGCATGTATACAGGATATTGAAGAAGGAAGCTCTCTCTTTGCCTGCTTGCTCTAGTTCTGACTACCAAGTTCATTCCTTTTGAAAGACCCCTACCCAGAGCTCTCTAGGAAAAGAAAAACAAGGCCAGGCCATTGCCTAATGAAAAAACCCAGACCAGGTGCCTCACCCAGCTGGGGCTTCAAACAGGATGTCAAACAGGATGTCTATGGTCACCAGAGCAGTTATGGGACCCAGATAATAACTGCTGAAGCATGCCGGGGTCTTTCATGAGGTAATACCAGGAAACCTAGTCCGTGGGAACTACCCCTGCCCCCAAGATGAGCCAATGAAATGCCTGTTGCTATGCTGATACTTATGTAACCATTAAAACTCTATAAATATTGTGCTCCCTGGAAGCCCGGTATGCTCTGCACCTGTGTTGCAGTAGCATCCACAGGTGCCTGTGTACTCAATAAATCACCTCTTGCATTTGCATCCAGTGGTCTGGCCCCGGTTCTTGGGCAGAGGGTTCAGTTCGGTGCCCGGCGCTTTGATGCCGAGGTCTTTCACTTTACTAGCATTAGAGCCTATCTCTTTGGAATTTTGATATATACTCAAGACCAGCTGAGACATCTAGTCTCATGGACTGAACAACTACTGGGTTCTTCAAATTTCCATTGGTAGGCAGCCATTGTTGGACTGCCTGGACCACATTGTGAGACATTCTAATAATTCCACTTTCTACGTACATGGAGAGATTCATTCTATCAGTCCTGTTCATGTAGAGAACCTTGAATAATACAGCTGTGTTATTTCAATCACCTGACCACTGAGGAAGATGTGCTGGCTACAATAGTGCTCATAAGCACATTCTTCTTAGCTCCGTTACTTTCTAAATATTCAATTTTCCAGAAAAACTACTCTTTATGATTGTTCATTTGCCAAGAGTTTGCTCTGGATTTCAGGAATAAAACTACAGCAATGGGGCCATCTTCCAAACTTCTGATGGGTGAACGAACTATTTATTATCTTGTTTGTGATCTGCTTCCTACTTTTCTTTCCTAGTTTCCTAAAGTCCCTGTGACAACCAGGAAAAAGTACCTTCAGTTCATCTGACCTCAGCATGAAGCCACAGAACAAACATCTCCTTTTGTGTCTTTAAATCTCTTTAATTGTTAATATTCTGGGCACACTTCCACCTATGGAACAGGGACTCACTCCACACTACATAGTATAGTGGACATTGTGTCCAGGAGGAAGAAAAGGAAGTCCCTATGGAATGCAGGAAGATGAAAGGGTCAGCTCTTGGAACCAGGAGAAGTGCTGCTATTAGAATGCATATCTTTGCAGATCTAGAAAAGGCCTTTGGGGTGGAAGGCAGGTTCAGGAATCATTGTGCTGTGTCTTTAAGCGTACTGTAACCCTATGGGAGGTGCTCTTGTCACTCAGGCCTCACTAGCCAATCATGCCCTCCAGACGACCTGCTAGTCAGAACTGGTTCAGGACCCTTCCGGCCACTGGCTTCAGGAGAGGCTTTGAAGAGGAGCTGGCGCGGCATTTCTGTGTGCTGTGCTTTCGTTGCTGCTACAGACAGCTGAGCAGAGAGCATGGGTGAACTGGGAAATCACAACATGGTGAGCGAAGGGCTGCTGTTCCCGGATGGGGAGGATCAAACGGTGAGGTGCGGTAGTAGGTGTGTTGTCTCCTACCCAGATCTGATTGGAAACCTGCAGCAAAATCTCCTGTCCTGTGAGGTCCTATGTGGTCCGTGAAATTCCTTGGACCCAGGGGCAGACCTCTGAATAACTTTGCTCTGTGGACTGAATCTGCTTAGAGCATTGGGAGCAGGGAACTGTGTGTAGAAATAGCTCTATAGTCGACTTCAACAAGCTTTTAGTGCACCCATGGAAAGCAGGTTTCTAAACTCAGAGAGGCCTAATTTCTCCAGTATTTTCTAGACAGTCAGCACTTTGTATTTAACCTGTAAGTTCCATTTATAGTCAATTTTTAGGAGTTTGTAAAAGGCATCTCGTGTGTTGCCATGATTTAGAAGAATAGAATTGGTAGTATAAAGGATTTACTAATGCTTAGGAGATAGTGAGTCTCACAAAGTAGAATTTAGCTGAGGGAGGACTGCCTCCAAAACACCCCAAAGATAGCTTGTGGATTCTTTCCAAGATTCTCCACTGCTTCTACTGTAGGTAGTTGTAAGGAAGACCACAAGCCATGCCATGCTAAGTATAGGCTGTTCAGAGCAGGTCTGCTGAACTGTCCTTTGTGCTGGGATTTGGATGGTTCATGAGTTAGACTGTGTTTCTGTTCCTCCATGTGGTGACCTGGGCAATGGCCCTTGTTCTGAGTCTCCCTGTGTATATGTTTCCTGGGGAGGGGGAGATTCTGCAGTCTTGGCATGGGAGGATGTAATACTTGTCATATCACGGTCCAGTGTGCACACCCAGGCAGTGAGAAGACAGATTGGTAAACTGAAGGTCTGGTTTCTAGAAATTAGAGTTTTTCGTATACAAGTTACATATAGTTTAGAAACTGGTAGAAAGATGGTGATGTGGATTTTCTTTCAGCAAACATGATTAGAATGCTTTTAACCAGCCACAGTGGTGTGATTCAGTGCAGTTTAGTTCCAGGGAACAAAAGGAGTTTCTGAGCTGCAGAGGTTTCTCAGGTGTGCATAATGTTGGGCAGGTATTTAGGGCATAATCTATGTGGCAGGAAGCAGATTTTAAATTATTCTTCTATGTTTTGGAATTGGCATCAGTGGGGCTGCGTTTACCTGAAATCATAAGGGGGCATAAGGGACTGAAGAGCCATAGCAAGAGATGGCCTCCATTTGCAGAGGGAGCTCTAGATCATGGGGCTTCTGTCTCTGGAAGAAATATCAATAGCTGGAGGGTCAGAACTGGAAGTTTAAGGGTCACTTTGAGTTAATATTGTGAAAGTTGTGAAGTCTGTGCTTATTTCATATAATCATAGATTGCTGAGTAACATTGGTCAAGATCACATTCTTTCTGGCTAAGTTTCTTTTGTTCTTTGGATCAAAGGTGAGTATATTTTCCTGCCTTTGTTTTTGGCTTGTTCTCTCCATCTGCTTTATCCTTTCACAAATATTGTACACATTCTTGGTGGTTGTATCTTTATGGTAAGTATAGAAGTCATATTATGCCAATCTGTGTACTATGTTTTCATAAACACATTGTACATTCTGAGTGTTACCACTGTGAATGTAGCTTTGTAATCATTTTTCCTGTTATAAATTGTTGGACATTGTTATTGGATTGTAGTCATTTTATGATGCAAATTTACCATATACAACATCTTAATTTTGATGCATCATGTTACTAAGGATGCATTTATTTACTTCTTTATGTATTTTTACTTACATTTTGTTGTTCTTGTTGTTATTATTCTGTGAAAGACTTTTGGTTTATTGGATAAAAGATATTAGGGGTCTTGGCAGGTGGCTTAGCACATATTGTTTTGAGGGATGACCTGAGTTCGGATACCTACACTTAAATTGGGAGGTTCACAATTACCTACCATCCCAGATCCAGGAGATCTGACATCCTCTTTTTGTGTATGTCACCTGTATACACATGGAAAATAGCCTCTCTCATGCACAAACATACACAAAAAAGCAATAAACTTGCTTTCAAAAGTGCTCATGACTTATAAAGCAATTAGAGTAAAACAAATTGCTTTAGGTGTACACTGATTCTTAAAAAATCTGTTATCTTGCATTTGTTTTGGAAAAGTTTTAATTTCCTCAATCTGATACAGACTTACAGCAATCATCAGTCATAGGAAACAAAATGGTGCCTAAGTGATCCTAACAGACATCCTTTTCTTTATCAAGAGAATGAGATCCTTTTAGTAGTCAAAACCATGTTCTACAAAGTTAGACATCAGAAACCCTCAAGTGAATCTCTCCAGTTTTGGCGGAATAACTCTCCATGCCCACTCCATTTTGTGTTATTCGCAAAGGACAGAACTGGAATGAACAGGATGAGTGCTGTCCAGTGATTTCCTATGGTTAATTTTCATTAAAATCTTGTTATTCTTGTTTAAGGGACCATGATATATATTTGTAGGTCTGTCTTTTTGTCTTGTTTGGTCAGTGGTGCCATCTATGTTGTTCATTTTATTGTCATTTAAATTTATTGTTGTTTCTCTGGAAAATGGTTGATCACCATTTTTTTTCAGAAAATTCATTATAAGTACCCTGACTTTTTTTTTTTCAGTTGGGAAATGTCTATTGAGAGACAGCTTTAATTTTCTCTTCTTGATTTTAGAGGCTTGCTTCTTCTCGTTTCTTGGTATATCTGTGTTTTCCATGCTAAGTTCATGTTTGGTTTTTTCTGCATAAGTAATTGATATGGTTAATATATTCTTTTGTGTTTTTAAAATCTCATATTATTGTCTCTGTCCTAATTAGCTTCAGCTGTCAGTATAATTCAGGCTAGAATCATCTGAGGGAACATCAATTGAGGCTTGCCTGGATCAGAATCACTAGTTACTTTGTTTGTGCTTAATCGTCTTGATTGATGGTTGATGTGGGAAGGCTCTTCCACTGTGTTTGCAATACCCTAAGCAAGTGGTCCTGAGTTGGAGAAGAGAGCTAGCTGAACACAAGCAAGAGAGAAAGCCAGTAAGCAAGAAAGATGCAAATTTTATAGGTCATAGATTCTTCTTCTGTGGTTTCAATTGAGCATTGTTGCACCCATGTATGTTTGGCAGAGTCAGAAACCCAGTGAGGATACTGTGAGAGTTCATTGCCTGAAGCTGTGAAGATGAAGCCAGTGTTGTACTTTGAGACGATAAAATGTTGAGATACCCAAGCTATGAGACATCTGCCATGGAGAGCTGCATACAGGAAGTGGAAGTAGCAAAGGAGAAACATGTATGAAAAATTTCAGGGATAGAGCTATTTAAGCCCTTTGATAAATGAAGCACCAGCTGCCTGAGACAGAGCTACAGGGATTTGTTGTTTGCCCTGCCACATTTTAGTCTTGCCTTGGTCCAATCTTCTCTCACTGTGTCCACATTCCTTTCTTTTCTTTTTTAAAAATTTATTCTACTCTCCATACAGTACATCCCAACTGCAGTCTCCCCTCCCTCCATTCTTCCCAGTCCTCTCCACTGCTCCCCTGTCTTCCAGATCTGCTCCTCCTCCATTTCCTTTCATAATAGAGCAGATATCCCAGATAGTAACAGAACCCTGAAGAACAAGCTGCAATAAGACTATGCACAACCCCTCATATCAAGGCTGGACAGGGCAACTAGTAGGAAGAAGAGGGTTCCAAGAGCAGCCAAAAGAGTCAGAGGCAGTCCCCCTCCTACTGTCAGGAATCACACCAAAAACGCCAAGCCGTACAACCATCTGCAGAGTACCTGGTGCAGACCCCTGCAGGCTCTGTGAGTGCTGTTTCAGTCTGAGCCCCTATGAACCCTGCTTAGTTGATACTGTAGGCTGTGTTCTGTGTCCTTTAAGTTAGGACAATTTTTGACTATGATTTTTTAAAAAATATTTTCTGGGCCTTTGAGCTCCTTCTATTCCTATTATTCTTAGATTTGATCTTTTCATAGAGCTCCAGATTTCCTGGATGTTATACTTCAGCAGATTTTTAGGTTTAACATTTTCTGATTCATATATCCATTTCTTCTATCACACCTTTGAAGCCTGAAATTCTCTTTCCATGCTTTATATTCTTTTGGTGAAATTTGCCCAAGGTTACTCTACAAGGGTGGGGCATCATCTTTGGCCTATAGGCCTAGCATACCTAAGAGACTTTTCTGTGAGGCAGGATATTCTGAAGGGCTGTCCTGCCTTGTCTTGGCAAAGTTTAGCAGTCCTTTTGTGTCCTACCTGTTAAATTTGAACAGCATATTGTCAGCAATTGAGGCAAGGGCACTTTCTTGCCCACTGGCTTACTTTTGCCACAATTAGATTAAGCTCCTTTTGGAGTTTCTTTGATGTCCACCATCTTTTCCAGTGTAGATTGGTGGCTGCCTGGGACAGACATGTCACATTGTCATAAGAAAAGGAAGAACCTATGTTATTAAAACATCTTAAATGCCATATTCTGTAGATCTGTGAAGTGTTTGAAGAGGATCTGTCTATCTAAAATGTATCTCTGTCTGACCCTGAAAACATACCTAATATGACAAGTTTGATTTTAATAGGTGACTAATTACTAACCTGCATCCTTTATTATCCTAAGTAGTTGGTAATAACTTTCAATAACTAAAATTTTGCAGTACATTGTTAAATGAGTTGCATAGGTACCATACCTTAAGCAAGATTAGAAATGTATGTACAGTATGGTTTAACAAAAATAATATCTACTTTGTCTCATTATAGAAAAATCAAGATTAATGTAAAATATTTAAAGCTAGTAGTTGCTCTTTTTGGTTTAAACATAGATTTAATAATTTACCCTTCTATCCTATTTCTATATTCCCCCTTATTTCTTTTCAGAGTAGATTCAGTAATCTCCCCTTATATCACACACACACACATGCACACACACACACACACACACACACACCTATATTTTTTTCAAAACAAGATCCCCAAATCTCAGCTTTTTTCCTGACCATTACCAATAACAACTTGTAAGCA